TAGATATTAATTTATTCTTAACATTTCCGGATGCTAAGAAATCTAAGAGGTAAGCATGATTTATTTTCCTTCTGACAAAAAAAAAAAAAAGTGGTTTGCTTTGTCTCAATCAGTTCCTTTTTTGCTTCAAAGCACATTTTTACATCTGCCAGAGAAAACTTGTACAGGACTTCATTGTTTTCAATGCGTGCATTATTTATACCAGAAAAATATGGACACTATGATTTTTTATGAGCAGGATGATAGGAAGCTGAATTTAACTTACATTATTTGAAGAATGTTTTTTTCCTAAAGCTGTATCTTGCAGTATTTGAGCAGCCACCTGAAATCGGAACTAGGTCAATCAATTAATAGCTACAACAGCCAGAGTAATTGACAGCACAGCAAGGCCATTATGTTAATAAAAGAAACTTGAAAGAAAAATCTAAGAAAACTAATATGCTTCCATAAAAAAGGAAAAAATAGTTCAAGTAGCAAAACTTGCCGCATTTGGCAGTTTAAATTTTTATGAGCCGATGCCAACCTTAGCACTGGATTCTTGATAAAACCAGCCTTTATATTTCATTCAATGGATAACAGCATACAATAGAGGAAAAAGGAACCTGCTAATGTCAACCAAGTTAATTTCTGTTCCTTCTTCAAGGACTCAGTTTAAAACTAAACTATCCAGAGTTCTTCTTCAGGTCATCCAGCACAGAGATCAATCAATTAAATCATCTATGGTGAAGAGTCAGCAGAAACTCAAGTTCTAAATTACACTTCATTCAGTTCAAATGAAAAGGTGATTTGATGCATAACTGAGCCTTGAGGATTATGAAAAGCAAAAATTATAGATATCCCTTGACTTTAGAGTTAAGATTTTGGGAGCAATAGTTATAGATTTTCCTAGACGTAATAATGCATGCCTTGTTTAGTTTAAGTTGTATCATATTACTTTATTAGTGTAATCTTCTTTGTACGTAGAATTGGATCAAAACTTTTATGTTACCCAATTCCACCCTTGGCTTGAGTTCTCTACGGACTAACGCTGATTCCAACCATAGTTGAGAAGAATTAAGAATTCTCTAGTAAATTAAGATCAATCTCAAAAAATTGAAAGCAAAATTACATTTACTCAAATGTGAAAATTATGAGCCAGTTATATACATTACGAATATTCTAGCAGTTAAAAAGAAAATAGGGTAGGAATTGAACCAATAATAGCCATATCATCATATTGGTATGCTGCAGCTTCTTAATTTTTCCCTTTTCTAATTCAACTGGTATGCTGCATTTTCTTTCCTTATACAATAAGGGTATTTTTATTTTTTACATGCAGTAGGACATTTTCTATCCTTGTTCCCCAAAGAACATGATTGTCAAGGTAAATTGCAATGCTGCATTTTGGTTAGGTAATTCTACTTCATGAGGCCTTGGTAGGATACTCAAATTGAGAGGGGTAACTTCATGGATAATGTAGAAGTTTAGGGGGTTCACATGACTTGGAATTTGGTTTTTCTAAACTAATGATAGCCATATCATCATTAAAAACGAAAAAAAGAAAAAAAAATTGCTAGGGCTACTGTCATTTTAGCTAAGCATTACAGTAAAGAAACGTGAAAGTTGTAGATATACCTCACCACCATTGATGCCTCCATCGTAGCATGGTTTTAAGCAGAGGGCACGCTCAAGGTAGGGTCTCCAGCATCCAGTCAGCAGATCTCTCCTTATCATCTCAACACCACTCTGGTAGAACTGTGCACAAAGAAGAGAAATAATATGGAGAAGTTAGCAATTTTTGAGAGGAGGATCAAAGGATGGGGGAAAATGAAGAAAAGAAGCATTGCCAACTTATCCTACCTCAAGCATATTCCTCAAAAATGGTTCTTCGTTAAAGTAATCTCTCCGCACAAACACAAATGGCAACTTATATGCAAGAGCTTCGCTAACTGTTCCATACCCAATTTTTCCTAGTACAGAACACAAAATCCAAAACCAATTTCAGGTTTACATGGCCTTAGCTTAAAAAAGTTAACAAATAAAACTATAATACCAAGCATGCAGTCTGAAGCTGCAATCAGATCAGGGGTATAGACATCTTTTGGGAGTTTGATGAAATTAGGGGGAAACTGCTGCTTCTCTGAAGCACCACAGACCTATACCATCGAAGAACAAAACTCATCATATCAAATTCTAAAAGGAAATCCTTCCTAAATTTATTACAGATGAAATCACTTTATAGAACATATGCTAATGACTTACAAGGCACAACCAACCAGCCGGTAAATACTCCTCCTTTAAATTCCATCCAGCTGGCTGCAAGTGATTAGATGAAAGCATTAAATAAGAAAATTAGTCTTATAGCTAAAAAGCGTATCAAACTCCATCAGAACAAAAAGAATGATTTTTTTTCCTTTAAAAAAAAAATTAAACAATATTCTGAAATTACAATGGCTGACAGAAAATGAGAATATTCCACCTGCAGAATTCTTACCATAAAACAGGGATATAACCAAGGTTACAATAACTAACAAGTATTTTCTATCTCTCCAAATTCTGAATTTACCCAACTTCATGTCTAATAAGAAAAGAGAAAACTTAATGTATCTCATTTTTATTAGAATTTTAGGTTTCTTTTGTATTTAAGGCAATAGGGTGGACATGTGGACTTTACTTCTTCCCATGCAAATACCTGTCAGTATTGAGGAGTAATTCTCTGTAATAGACAGCTATAATTTCAAGGACAAGACACTCGCTGCACATTCTATGGAATTCTTGATTGATAAACTCAATTACCAAGAAACTAATTGAATTATAACAATAAGGAAGCAAGTAACTAAAACGAAAGATTTCCGCTAGCATAATTGGATCAGCTGCCTTAAGTAATTGACAAGGCCAAAAGTAAAACCACTATCCTTGTTCATCGAGAGCACAGAAGAAAGAGTCTAAAATAATAATATTGAAAATCAGACTTCATTAAATAATTCTAATAATACATAATGGAATTCTTTTCTTTGTATACATTATTTATGAAAGACAAAGGGATATAAAAAGAAGAAGCATGCAAGGGAAAGTGGGAGGATGGAACTTGAAAGTGTTTCTCATATAAACATCATAAACAACTAGAACTCTCATACTAAAAATTATGTCTAAATCCCAACTTCTTCTCGAAGAACATTTAAGATTTAGCTGTCAGGTTTTATTTTGAAAGAAGCAATAAAATACTAAGCATGAAATATTTGTGAAGTTTAGCGATATATAACCAAACATGACAATTACTGTTTACCTGACCACCAAAATTGAAAATTACTAGCTTCATGTTGTCCTTAACTCCAAGCTCTTTCCTCACCTGCGGCACAAAGAAACTATCAATTGAGGTTGGAGCACATTTGACATAATATTTGATCAAATTTGTAGTGCTACTAAGACCAACCTCTTCTCTAGATTTGTGTAACCTCCTCACAACAAGAGGTATATCAATAACATCACGAAAAGCAGGCACTGGGAAACCACAAAAAAAAAAAAAAAGCATACATCAGAAGAGAATCAATTTCTTTCTGGAAAGAAAAAGCACCAAGAACATGCTTGTGACAACTTACTAGGACAGTACCCCGGTAGACGTATCAAAAATTCACAGTGGGAATAATCTTCAGCTATCTGCATGTGTAGAAAGGTCACAGAAATGGATAGAATGAGTAACAATTATTGGAACCAAAAATAAAAAGGTTAAATGATTACTAGGTGAAATAATCATGTGATTACAAGATATGAAACAGTTTATAAGAAAGACAATATGATGCTTCAGTTGCTATTTAGCTTATAAATTAATCAATGAGTGGAAAAATATCTATCCAAGTTTAACTTCAGACAATGTAATAGCAAAACAAATCGATAAGCACCATATTCAGCTCCTAAGATATGAGATAATTAGCAAATAGGATCAGGGAGAAATATATGGTAGACATTCAGTTCTATATGACATGTGGAAGCAGTTCTCCTGCATTGCAATCATCTAGATGGACTGGAAATTCTACCTGAAAGTTAACAACTACTGACAACTAACCTCAGACTTTTTGCTGATAAACATGCAACCAAAAATAAGTAAATACTATTCTTCAAAAAAGGGGAAAAAGAAAAGAAAAGGAATAAGCCCTAAGAGGAATTGTTGGGTTCAAAATATCCTCCTTTTACTTAATGAAGAGAAATTTCCCAATAACTAGCCCTTTGCCATTAGGTGTTTTGAGTTGTATTCACTAAGAA